CCCCAAAACCCCAAAACCCCAAAACCCCATAGAGTATTATCACTCTAAAATAAAAAATGAATATTATATCAAATAAAACTAAAAATTTCAATCTTCAAAAGCAACATAGCAAATGATCAGTTACCTTTATCTTTTAGTTTTGGACTAAACTAGAATTATTTGAGTTAAGATTTTTAGGGCTAACTTCTAAAGTCATCTTTGTGGGTCTCATTTTCTAAGACCTAGTTATCGAAATCCTCAGAAAATAATATCCCTTTTTTCCTCATTTCTTCTAAGTCTTCTTCAATACTTTTAGAGTCACTAGATTTTGAGGAATCAATGTAGTTTTGATTTTTCATATGATCTTACTCAAAAATCTTGATATTTTCCATTTTGCTTTTACTTTCTATCAATTGACCATGAAGCCTTTACAGAAGAGTCTTGTTCTCATTTTAATCTTGCTGCTCCTCTTAGAAATCCTTAAGTTTTCTTTAAAAAACACCTCTCATTAGGTTTCGCTCAATCATTTTAAGCTTCTTGCCTTCAAATGCTTTCATCATCTTTTTAAGCTTGCCGTATATTACTAGTCTGATTAATGGATTTTTATTCTCCATTAGATGCAATGTGTCTAAGTTATTGTCATCTGAATCTGATGATTCTGATGCTGTTTCAAGCAGATTTTATCTTTGGAATCTAAGCAGCATTCTATGCTTCTAAGAGAGCATAGCTTATGATAGCATTCTAAACTTTCTCTAAGTCTTAAGAAGTTAAATTACATCCAATTCCTAGCCAAGTTTTTCCTCACCCTTTTTATAAAGATAATGCCTCTTATAGTATCTTTTATTTCTTCTGCGACTAAGATCTCTAATACATAGGCACTAAGTTATGTATTGAAAAATAGCTTTCAAGTTGTAATTAAATCTCATTCTTGAAATAAACGAGACCAGCAAGCTGTTTACATCATCGTCATAAACTTTTTTCTTTTTTCTGAATGCTACTGCACTCTGCTCTTCTTGGTTCTTTATATCAAGCTCATCTTAGTATATAGCAGAGATACTGCTATTCTAATTTATAATTTCTTATTATTAGGAGCTATCTTCAATTTTAACAGTTATCGATAAATTATCTACTGCCTGTTAATCTTTCTCAGTGTCATTTTTGAAAGGTCTATTTGTGGCCATAATCCCATCTTTATCTATGTATGAAACATTCCTTGAGTGACTTGGTGGAGTTACATTATTGTTTATATTATTAATTGAATAAGCAAAGCTAGTATAATCTTCCTAATAAGTTTTATTGACATTCCTAGGGGAGAGAGGTTGAATTGTTTTCAAATCATTGTTTGTTGTTTTTGTAATATTTTTATTGCTTTCCTACTTTTGCAATTTCTTCCCTTCTGGCTCCAGAACATATTTACGTACTTAATAGATCTTACGCATAATATCGCTCATAAACATTCTTGATGAGATGAATCCAACGAAAATAAAACCAATAGCCAATAGAGATCCTTAGAGACCACCTATATCTCCAAGCAATTCAAGAATAGAGTAAACTTTCCTTGCATAAATATCATATCTATTATCAAATCTCATATAAATTGCTGCTATGTACCCATCAGTGTCTGAATATTGATCATCATAGTAACGTTAATTACTTACTTAATGAAATTCTATCTCTTGAGTTTACCCAAACTAAATCAAATCATCTTCTAATTCCGCCTCCTATAGTTAAATATAGAAGTTGGTCTTCTTTATTCGATTAGACTCTAATTCAAAGAAGAGTGAATCATCAATAAATGGCTTAATCTGCTTCCCCTTTTCAAACTCTGTCAAGTCGAAAAAAGTATTCACAAATGCAAAATTAAAGGTCTCAGTGTCGAAGAATTTATCAATAGTAGCTCTATCAAGACATTTTTTCTATGCAGTAGTGGCATTAACTGGATCGATACATTTCCAGAGTTTGATCTCAAGATATTCAAACTTATCTTGATAAAAATTTCCTTGGAACTGATAATTGCTTGTTGTAATGCAGTTATAATTTGAAATTCCCTTAGAAATTATTTCAGCCTCGTCTGGAAAATCAAAGTTGCTTTCTCCGCATTTGGTGAATGGAATGTCATCTTTGGTCTTACGTTTGATATTTTTTCCACTAGAATCTTTCTCCTCTGTTTCGTACAAACCTAGCTATCTAACAGTGAAGTAGCCTATTCTCGGGTCTAGCTCTGAGTTCAAACCGAATGCAAAATCAAATCCAGAATCTTATGGTTAGAATATTTCACCATCTGACATATCCCTTAGTAGAGATACTTTCGATACCTCTGGATTAAATCTGCTGAACAAATAATAAGCTTTGAAAATGCTAAACCCAAGCAGAACTACAATTAGGAAGAATGAAACTGAAGCTCCAAGTAATGTTTTATAAGAATCTTCTCCTTTATAAGTAAGCTAAATAGACTATCCAAACCAATCTAAACCCTTGAACTAGTCCTTCATACCTTTGCACTTATTTCTAGCTGGTTTCTGATTACTTAATTTCTATAGAAGAATCATAAATAAAAACCAAAAATAATTGCATACCTAAGTCTTACGTTAGCTATTAAGTTGTTTTTCTTTTCTCATAAATTAATTTATCAAAATTAACACTAAGAAATTCACATATTTAGTAAAATTTACTGATGGGGTTTTGGGGTTTTGGGG